TAAAATTAGGGGTATTACACATGTTAGCACTAATAATTTTTTTTTTTTTTTTTTCAAGCAGGCCGAAAATATAATAGTGTAACAGTAATGTATTAGAATAAGTGAATAAAAAATGAATAAAAAGAGAAAAAAGAAAAAGAAGGTTATTGCACATAAATTATGCATTAGTGCACGAAAAAGAAATTTTTAAGAAGAAAATGAATTTTTAAGAAGAAAATGAAATAAAAAGAAAGAAATATAAGACAATTTTAAAGGAAATGATATGTTTTAATTATAGAAAGAGAATGCAAAAGTTTTGAAGATGACAAAAAGAAATTTGAAAAATAAGAAGGAAAATGAATAAAGAATTAAAGACATTTTTAGAAATAGATAATTTTATGGGGATAATTTATAAATTTTGTAAGGGTGTTTTATAAATATTTAGAAATTATACGCAAAAAATAAAATAAAATGTAGTGAATTCAGGGGTAAAGGAGCCATTTTATTAATTTTAGGGGGGGCATTGTGTCAATTTTTACACATTTATGTATAATATATATATATATATATATATATTCTAGTGGGGCAGCATGGGGGGGGGGGGGGGGCAGCTGCCCCCCCTGGGTATATGCTGCCTCCGCCCCTGGCCGAAGTCTACGAAAGATCCTTAGAGACATTGGAATCTGGAATACTTTGATACCAACTGTGATACTCCCTAATTTCAAAGCCATGTGTTGATCAAGTCCAAACTCAAAACCAAGGAATATCAAACAATTAAGTAATAAATGAACATGGTATATAAATAGATAAATAAAGAATAAATCAATGCTGAAAGGAAAACTAAAATAATAATTAAATAATTAATGCCTTAATGAATAAAATCCAACAATTAATAACTCATCTAATACCAATAACTTTCTAGAATACAACTTGGGAATCCATATCATGTGGACCCCTAATAAAATCCCAAATGAAATAAATAATAAGGACAACTGTTTAAAACTAAATACTAAAACATAAAGTAAAATCCTACGTAGATAACCGGAAGAGTGATGATAACTAGTCTTTGCTCTACACAGACAAGTTTTACACCTGCAAATGATGATGACTTGAAAAATAAATAGTGGGTTAGACCCACAAACAATTTCTTTCTACTACATTTCAACAGAGACCTGAAGAACTAATACATGCATCATAGTCAACTCATGCAATAGATAAATAATCGGTATAAATATATAAATACACACTAAAGACTCTCATTAGACTATAGGGCAAAACACACAACCCTCTATATCCAGCTACGCATCCTAGGGGCAATGTAACCTTCCTAACCATCGATCTTGAGAACTCAAACTCATATCATAGTACACACACACACATACATATATATATAGCCATATCCTAACAATGGCAATATCTATATCTGTCGTCACGGCATGACAAGGAATGAGACTAAACTTATTAGCTAGCTCACTCTTAATATACAATCATATTTGACAATGGTGTATAATCTGAAATCATATCCTGACAATGGTTCCCACACAAACAAACAAGTAATAGATCAAATATATAACAGATCATATACTGCTGCCACAATATGATTATAATCATTAAAAATATCCATTGTAATTGTTATAACAATTTAAAGCAATATAAACATCATATAAACAACTTATAAGTCATTTAAAATCCATTATGTCTTAATCCTTAGCATATTAATGTACAATATGCATTCTGTGAATTTCTTAAATCCATATAGACCATTTAAACCCATTAAAACAAGTTACAACTTCTTCTGCAAACCCAAATCCCAAATCCAGTCCCATGCCAAACTGAGTCGGCTCATTCTTTAACTGAGTCAGCTTCTTCTTAAAGAAGTCGACTCTTTCAGCAACTAAGTCAACTTAGTTCCAACTGAGTCGGCTCAATTCCAACTGAGTCGGCTCATCAATGTTGTGGGTCATCTTTTCCGTTTTCCAGCCTCTGCAACTCCTCCAAACTCCATTGTTAAGGATCCTAAGCTTCAGTTCTAAGTCCTAAATGTCCCTAATAATTTATTTAAAGTAATTAAGCATGTTTACAACAAAATTAAACAACAATTCATGCATTAAATTACAAAATCTTACAAATCATGTAAACATATATAAACACATAATAATCTCTGTTTCAATCCGATTTAATCATGCAAACGGGTTTGTTAATCTTGTTTAATCATCCTAAAGTTCTCCTAGACATGTACCGAACACTAGATCAAAGGAGAGGACTAGAGCATAGAACTTACCTTAAAGATTTCGGATTGAAACCCAAAACTCCTTCTTCTCAGGCCAATTCCTCAACGCTGTTAGCCTCTGGTTGCCATCGTCCTCCTCTGTTGCTCTCGGTCTACATACACGAAAAACAACTTCTTTTTTTTTTTTTTTTTTTTTTTTTTTCATAGTTGATACTCACACATACATGTCTCTATGAAGGCTTGAACCCTTGACATCCCTTTGAAGAGTAAGGGCCTGATTCTGCTAGGCCACTCGTTTATTGGTTCATACACGAACAACCTTCATTCTTCTTCCTCATTGGTTTGGCCCTCTTCCTTGGCCTTTGCTCACAAACTCTCTCTATATCTCGTCTCTGCCTTTATATAACCCTCTGTAAATCACACGTATATAACCCTTCTACATACCAATATACACACGCACACACACACATATATATATATAGGTTACATAAAACTAACCCTAAACTAATCCTAGTCCCAATCTAATTCACGTTCTGACTTAAAAGAAAAGAAAAGGAAACTAAAATAATTATAGCAATAATAATAATAATAATAAAAATAATAATAATAACATGTATATATACACACACATTAATATATATATATATATATATATATATATATATATATATATATCTCTCTCTCTCTCTCTCTAATATACCCATGGCCATAATCCTTGCACTCATTTGGTTGGTTTATTATTAGGGATGGCAATTTCCTCCGACCTGACGGGTTTCCACCCCACTCCCGTCCCTAATGGGGTGGATTTAGTGGCCTTTAAATAGGTTTGGAACTGATATGGTAAAATAATTGCAAACCCGAAGCAGGTTTAGGGCGGGGGTGGATTTAGTGATGACCCCGCCCTGATTATATATGTATCTTTTAAATTTTTTTATATATAAAATATATATTCTATATTTTTAAGACTCATGTTACTTTACTCGAAGTGCATGTTAATATATTAATATTTAATACTTAGAAATTTAAAAGTTAGGCTAACTTATTTATCAGCCTAATTTGAGCACATTTGGCTAGGTTTTTTTTTTTATTTATTATAAAATAAAAGTGACATAACCTGGCCCACCCCCGCCGCACCCCGCAATTAAATGGAGTATATGGGGTGGAGTCGGTATTTTGTTTACCGAAGTAGGGATGGAGATGGTATAACAATTACACACCGTTTCGGATTAGGGGCGGAGTTGGTATGAAATTTTTTCTAATGGGGCGGAGTAGGATTTAGCCAAATCCGTACTAACTCCGCCCCGTTGCCATCCCTATTTATTATTACTACCAAGATCCATCCTTTTTAATTAAATTAAAAAATAAAATAAACGAAACAATTAAAATAAACTAAATAATTAAATATTTAAACCTAACAATTAATTACAAACAAATACACTTAATTAAACAAGCAAATACACACAAATTAATCACATAATGCACATTAAACAATTAAATCAAATAAACACATAAACACATAGCCACATAATCAAATAAAATGCAAATAAAATAATCAAACAAATCCAAATAAATCCTCTGAAAATTAGAGGTATTACATGACGTTCCACATTTTTTAATATTCTTTTTTTCTATTTTTCATAATTATTTTATTTTTGTGCATTATTTTGTGTGCCGTGTGTGGGTCCCAGAGTCCATTTAGGGCATTTATTTGAGTTTCGAACTTTTAGAAATGCATTACGGGTTATTTTTTTATTTTTATTTTTTTTGAATTTTCAAGCCTAGGTGTGGGGCCCCACGCCCGAATTTTCATGCTCGGGAGTATATTTCATTTTCATTTGCATTCAATGATTATTAATTGGTGCATTTTTATTTATAAGTATTTGAATACATCAATATGGCATGGGTTGTAGTAATGTATGCATGAAAGGGTGTTTTAGGCAATTGCTGGACAAGGTGGTGGGACCAAGGATTGACCAAGACCAAGACAAAACACATGACCAGATTTTTGGTCATTTCTTTCCTTCCCCATCCAATTCTCTCTCTCTCTTTCCAAACACATCGTTTACACACTAAAAACTTAGATTTCACCTAGTTATGGTTAGAATTGATCATTGCCACAAAAGACAAACTTTATAAACTTGTCAAGGGCTTTATTTTGATCAAACAAAATTTCATTTGGAGGACTTTGGTGAACTCAAAAGTTGGAGCTTTTTGCATTTCTTGAGATAGAGGTGTTAATTCTATGTTTTTCCCATTCTCCAGCATGTCAATTTGATGTTTTTTTTATTTTTTTTATTTTTTTTATTTTTTTTAGAAGTTGACATTTAGGGTTTTATGTATATTGAGTTTTCTTGCAAGTTGTTAAGTTATATGTGATTACATAGTTGATTATGCATAAATTGTGAATAACATGCTATCCAATGTGCTATGTGGTACTACAGGAAAAACAGTTTTTACCACGATTTTAAAAAAAGTATGGTAGAAGACCCTTTCTACCACGGTTTTAAAATAACTATGATAGAAAGTATATTTTTTTTCACGGTTATTATAAAAAAAACCTTGGTAGAAGATCCTTTTTTACCATGGTTAATGAAAAATTGCGGTAAAAAATATATTCTTTTACCACGGTTAGTGAATTATTTTTAATGTAATTTAGGCGAGTCTTTCTATCACGTTATTTTAAAACCGTGAATTTAGTTTCACCCGCCCGTACACATGTTTTATTTCCGTTAGTTTCTTAAAAAAGATTTAAAATAAATATTTTATATATAAAAATATATTTACTCACACGTACAGTCCACACACATACAATATTTTAGGGCAAATCCTTTCAACCTCCCCAATCGCCTCCGTCTCTATTCTCGTTCTCAACTCGGCCGTCTCTCTGTCTCTGCAACTGCAAAGTACAAAATCTACAAGAATCAGAACCCATATCGGCATATCAGATATGATTTTGAATAACGACGACGATGATGATTTTGAATCACCCACAATGGGTCCGGACCCACAAATTCCAGATCCACCGCAAACCCTCAAGCGTCTCCGGCGAGGTCGCACCACCGAATCCACATCGGCCACCCAGAAGCGGGAGTTGTGGCGTAGTGTCGATGAAGAGATTGAAGAGTTCTCTTCGCAGGAGGATAAGCGTGAAGGTAAGACTAGTGACTTGTCTAATCTTTGAATGCTGTTTCTCTTTTGTCCTTGAATGTTATTGCTCGTTTGGTTGCTGGGAAAATGTGGAAAAGAAAATGAATTGAAAATTCGCATTTTAGGGTTTCATTCATTTGGTACCCAAGTATGTATCTTTGGTAATTCGAGGTTTATTAAACTATATTTAGCTTGATTGAGATGGGCTTTTCGTCTTTCTAACATCCTCAAATAATAAAAGGCATAAGATTTAAAAATTGATTTGTACTTTCTGTTTCCCCTTCTCATGTTTCCTGGCAAACAAATGGAAAATGATACTCTGTTTACAGTGGAAACTTGAAATGTATGCACTTTCTGTTTTTTGGTTGTGAACAAATGAGGTGGTGAGATTAATTATTTTTTTAGGAACTAGTTGGAGAGGTAATTTGGTTTTCAAATTTCATTTAATTGGGGATGAATAAAAACAATATGTAGTCTATTATTTTTGTAACCTTGTGTTTTCCTCATTTTCCTCAGCAACTAATACAGGTAATGAGATTTGTGGAGTTTAGTCTTTGATTTGGACACACTTCTCTTCATTACAATACGGATTCAAAAGATGTGATGTTTATGAAAAGTGTATTTGTATTGTGTACAAAATCTACAAGCATTATTTACTATTTTTTTTTTTTTTTCCTATTATTGTGCTTTGGACAGAATGCTAACAACCAGTCCTCTCCCATTGCTTCACATCAAGTCTCACCTTCTGAAGATTTGGTCGGCAAGTGTTGTGAGCTATTGCATTTTCATGGGACAAAATCAGTTGTTGCCAAGGGTGAGATTGATTCAATGGATCCAGATTCTCTCATACGTTCTGCTCCACTTGGTTCCGACTATTGGAGAGTATGGATCACTGACCTCATTGATCACAGTGTGCCCTTATATAGGCCTGAAATTCGTGGCTTTGATTTGAAAGACGCATATGTTAGAGGATTTTCAATTGCATGGCCTATCAAGTACATCAAAGTTTGTAAGTGACGCAATTCTTTTATGATTGCACATTTTTAATGCTTTTTATACTCATGCTCAGGGGGTCACGCGCCTTTAAGTGACCAATTTTGCGGTGTATAGGGGGTCACGTGCCTTAAGTGACCATTTTTTTTTTTAATTATTGTACATCATTGAATTTACTATATAGAAACACATCATATATTTTAAGAAATATTATGTTAGGGCCTATTCTTTGCAAACAGAATATCTCGACACTAAAAATGTATATAAATGAAAAGCTTTTGGCCAGTATCATAAATTGCCCTATATAAAGCTTTTGGCTAGGTAATGGAACAATATGTTGTATCCTGATAGACAATTTCCTGATTGTGTAGAAATTCAAACTGATATAGAGTTGTTTCACAATAAAGCTTAAAACAAATATTATAATATAAAGATGGTTTTACTCACCCATGAGGATCTAGATTTCACACTTTTGGCTTTTGATTATTGTGTTGTAGCTTGGGTTGACACAACAAAGGAAGCCTCAATGATTGATTGAATGTCGTCTGGCACAATTTATAATAAAGCAAAAAAATAAATAAATTAGGGTAAAACTATTAGATTCCTTGCTGGGAATATCTCCATTCAAACAATTATAGAATTGCATATATATTTGCATATTTTCTGTATAGTAGGATTATTTTGCACTTTACCCTAGTAATAATGTCAAAATAGAAAGACCATTAATCTAAATACTTACTTAAAACTCATATGTACCTTTCCATGAATGATCCAAGAAACTGGTAGTGAGATTCTGAGTCCTTGCTAAGAGTTGTCTCTGTCATTTTTGGGCCATGTGAATGACCTCCCATGTACACAATATATGACTATTAAAGAGACCTCTTCTTATGTGTTCGTTGCAGACATGAATCATTCATCAATGTCTAATAGTGACAGGTACAAAAGTTCATTTAAAATGTAAATATCCCATAAAATTTCATCTTGGTGCTAAAGCTTTACCCAACATTACTTCCTAATCGTCCCTTAAGATAATTATAATAAATAATAAAAAATTGTGAAACAAAAGTAGGGAGTACCATAACTGGTCCAATTAATTCTACATCTTGAACACTTATTGCTACTTTATCAATAGGAGTTGGAAGTTGACGATAGAAATCTCTTTAGTTGTTACCTCACTATCTTTATTTTTTGTATGGTGATTGTTTGATTTGAATTCTTGATCTACAGTTGCAGCATATATGTCATTATAGTTCCAATCTTCATCATGTTCTTCAAATTTAAGATGAAACCTAGAAGTTCTATGATGACGTATAGTGAATGAGTTAGTGTGATTCTTCAAATTTTTAGAATAATCTTTGTTTAATAAACTATCAGAATTACTTAGAAGATAATAAGTCACTATCATATGATCCATTATGATAATTGCAATTTTTATCATGTTCTTCAAATTTAAGATAAACCTAAAAGTTCTATTATTACTTATAGTGAATGAGTAAGTGTGATTCTTCATATTTTGAGAATAATCTTTGTTTAATAACCTATCAGAATTACTTGGAAGATAATCATGTATGTTCTTGTTACTTGATTTTTCACTATCATTATGATACTTGTTTATGTTAGCTTCAAAAATTGGGTAGTCCCTTTTGAACTCTAGAATTTCTTTCGAGCTACATCTAACTTCAGTATCAATATTTTTTGATGATGATCTCATGTCATCTTTCTCTAGATTTCACACTTTTGGCTTTTTTGATAATCGTGTTGTAGCTTGGGTTGACACAGCAAAGGAAGCCTCAATGATTGATTGAATGTCGTCTCGTACAATTTATAATAAAGCAAAAAAAATAATAAATCAGGGTAAAACTATTAGATTCCTTGCTGGGAATATCTCCATTCAAACAATTATAGAATTGCATATCATTGGAAGATTTGACAACAATTAACTTTTTGTCTTTCAATTTTTTAGTTTTATCAAACACTGGAGTTTCTGAATTGACCCTTGAAGGAAAAAAGGCACACAACTAATATGATTTGATATCAATGGAAGAAAGACTCTGATACATCAGAATACTCTCAATCTTAATATATACATTTTACTTTAGGTCTTCCACATTTATAAGAGCGTAAAAACTCAATATATATAATTTTGGCAACTTTACAACTTGCTTTACATTCTCTTACTTTAACTATTACATTTTGTAGGTGAAAGCTAGGATTGCGGGATAGCGGTTCCCATTACTTTTTTTGTTGCCATTATATTTTTTGTATGGCTGATGATCAAGAAGTTGCATATATGGAAGAGAGAGACTAAAACAGAGCAAGAAGATACGAAGAATTTTTGTTTTATTTTGGTTAAGTAAAGAGACAAGCTTGTGGATCATGTACTTCTTTGAAATTTGTAAATATTTTTGTATAAAATCATGATTTGGAATTGGTTATATATATATATATATATATATATATATATATATATATATATATGATGTTATTGGCTAGTTGTAAGTTATTTTGGTTATGATGCTATTTTTATTTATAGGGTTTGCTTCTTGAGTCTTTGCAAGGCTAGTAGTAGGGTAAACAAAAAAAAAAAAAGGTCTCATGGGGGCTGTACACTATTTTTTTTTAAAAAATAATATAACACTTTCTACCACGGTTCTGCACCGTGGTAGAAAGAAGTACATTATTTAAAAAAAATAAATAATATAACACCTTCTACCATGGTTTTGCACCGTGGTAGAAAGCGTTTTCCACCGTGGTAAAAAGTTGTTTTTCTTGTAGTTAATCCTATAACTAATGTATGTAGGTTGTTGTGACAATGTGTTGATAGAATGCGATTTATTTACATTATCGCTTTTATAATGTTGTGCTCACAAATTGAAGATTATTGTAAGCATAAATTGCCTTTAGAATCGAGAAATTAGTGATGAAAAGTTGAATGATCCAAGTATGGTGCATTTCATATACGTTGCATTGACGATTTTTTTATAAACATATGAGGTGGGTGTGTAGGGTCATGTATGTGGAAACGTGAAGAGGTCAAATGCGAATTTGAGATGTTTTTCAGAAAATGTTTTCTTAAATCCGGCATTGGGGAGGTACACCTTTGACGGCGGTGCTAATTGGTTAATAGGACACGGGAGGTATCTATGAGTAATTTAGCAACTCGGTCTTCAAATGGTATTTGGGAGGTACCCTTTGCCAAGGACGATAGCAAATTCCCTTAGGGATGAAGGGAGGTACTCAAAGTCTGGCTAATTAGTACGTTTTCGGTGTGAGTGCGTATATGTGAGAATGTGTGTGGTATGCGGTCGCATAATGCATTCCATGGCTTGCATTTCATTATATTGATGATGATGATCACTTGATGAGCTAAACGATGTTGTGAAATCCCTAGCATGATCCCGTTATCGTATCTCTATTCCTTGTTGTGTAAAGCATACGATTATCTACTTTAATTTAGGAGATGTCACTTAGGCAATTTTTACTGAGCCGTTGTGCTCATTCCTTTATTAATATTTTTCAGAAAATTGAAAGGAAGTGATAGATGACCCTCAACCTCACTCTTGAGGCAGTGTTTAGATCATGTATTAGATCATATTTTTTTATATACATGGAACTTATGATCAATGATGTAATATTTTTGCTAAACTTGTAATTGATGTCTAATTATATGTATTTTGAGTAGAGATGAATTTGAGACCTAATTTCCACTTTTCGAGGCCTCTTCATCTTAGAAAATTTGAGCCATTTTATGATGTATTTTGACTTATCATGATGTATGGATGCTATCTTGTTAAAGTATTATTAATGTTGATGGATGTTTTTGGAGAAGATTTTGAGTTGTATAAATGTGTCCATGATCATAATTGTAAGGTAGGAGCAAACCAAAGCTACCTTACTTTCTGGGTTCAACCTGATCAATCGGATTTCAATCCGATCGGATTTTTCCATGCTTAAAAAATTTTGAAAGCCCTCCAAAATCTGTTTTCGGCCTGATCAATCAAATTTTCCCAGACTCAGAAAATCTCGAGGTTGTCAAAATTACTCGAATTGACTAAACTTCAAACAATCATAACTTGGTTATTTCTAACCCAAATTAAGTCATTCTTGAGTCTAGCTAGATTGATGCATTTTGAACCACATTTTCATTGGCATTAACCTCATTTGAGTCTTGAAATGACTATTTTACCCCTTGTTAGCCTAGGGTTTTGGCATGAATGTCCATGATTATAAATAATTATAAATGACCAGTATTACTTCAATATGACTGCTAACTCATAGTAAGGTGCATAATGACCATTTTACCCTTAGTTGACCTTGGGTTTGGGTAAGGACCTGTTAACAATTCCGATCCACGGAATACAGCTTTGGCCAGGGTCCCACATGTTACTTTATGTCTACAACGGCTCTTTCAATTAAAAAAAAAAAAAAATTAGATATTGTCTTTAGAAAAAAAAAAAAAAATTTGCATGATTTTTGTAAATTTCCTTCACTCTTTCCTTTTATATGTAATTTTTTTTTTTTTTTTTTTTATTGTAAACAAAAATGTATGATTTTGATTCTTTTTTTTTATTTTTATTATTATTTTTTTATTTTTAAAATATGTATAATTTTTATTTATTTGCCTTTTGAATTCATTTTCTTTTAAATTTGTCAACAAATATATGAAAAACAAAAAAAATTAAAATTTTATTTTATTCGTCACAAATAATATGAAAAATTACATTTTACGTTAAACTTTTTCATTACTAAATTTATTCCAGAAATGTTCCATGAGACGTCTCATGAGCTCTAGTCAATAACAAATATCATAGCTTAGTAGAACATCCTCCATCCTCATTACCTTTCAAAGTAAAATGTTGAGGTATCAATTTTTTTTAGACACAAAGCCGGCGTGTTCCAACTAGTCATTGAATATATATATATATATATATATATATATATATATATGATATTTGTGACTAGCTTGGGGGACTTGAAAGTTCATGTGTAAGGATAGCTTTATCCTCCCTCCTCGTAACGCCCGCATTGAGAATGTAGTCATCAACCCTTTCGCATTGTTAATCTTATTGAACCCCCCAAATTTTTTGAAAATATATGGCCAACAAAACTAAATATAGCTAAGTCTATACTAGACCCCCCAAATAAAATTATTCATTGGGCCTTTGGCAACTTTAAACCCAAAGATTAATATATAAAATATTTTAAAGCCCAAATCCAATGCAAAATCCAATAACAAATTAATAATCTCTCTCTCTTTCTCTCTCTCTCTCTCTCTCTCTCTCTCTCCATACATACTTGGACTTATATCTTACAAAAAAAGTGAAACAATAGCAAAGGTAACTCTATAGATTTCTCGTCATCTCCATTGATTCTTGTTCATTTGTCCATGTAGCAAGATAAAAGAAATTAATTAAAAGAAATTAATTAAAAGGTTACTCTATCTCAATTTTTTTTATTTATTTATTAAAAGATCATCAAAGGCATAAATGTTAACATAAGGGTTATATATATACCATATATTGTATTTATTTGTCGTTATGTATATGTGTATTCAATATAAATAATGTATGTATATTAGTATATAAGAGTATAAAATAAAAAATAAAAAAATTAGATTTTTTATTTTAAGTATCCCGATTGGTTTGAATCAATATTAGTGTCTCTAATTAATGAATTTATCCAAATTCTGTTGCTTGAATCAATATAGAGTTGATTAATATATTTGATTAATGGGTTTGTTGTGATTTCAAAGCCTTATGTAGTTTATATTTGTCTATTTTCTTTAATTAATGTATTCATTTTAATTGATGGAATCATAATCTTTGAGTTTATTTAATTTATGGTTTTCAATATTTCAAGCCGTAATTAGTTTATATTCTCTATTTTTTTTTTCATTGTGTTTTCTAAAATAAAATAAAATAAAATATTTTAATTTTTCTTTTTGTACATATCTGAGTGATATTTGACTAGATAAATATATATATATATATATATATATATATATCTATATATATATATATCTCTCTCTCTCTCTCTCTCTCTCTCTCTAAGGGTAGATTTTTTCAAGCATCTAATTAATAGTGTAATACTTTTGGCTCAAAGTTTGCTACCCTAACCATGGAATCCCCTCTGGAATCAGGCCCATACTATAGTACTTTTGGAATCTGTAACACAAGATGGCATTCAAATGGAAGTGCAAACAAGAGGAAGCACCCATAGTGCAGGTTAACTTAATCATTCATTTTAGATTCAATATGAAATTAATTCCATGAAATAACAATGAAACAAGTAGTTTCTACTCGACACAGTAACATCATTACTAGTCCAACTATTGTCTTCTTAAGGCAATAAGTAATTCTTACTGCATGTTTCTGAGCAGGAACCCACGCAGGTCTCAACTTTTTCTTCCCCTGATAATAAATAAATAAATAAATGAGATATATATATATATATATATATATATATATATATATATATATATGTAGAGAGAGAGAGAGAGAGAGAGAGAGAGAGAGAGAGAGAGAGAGATTAACTACCTGCGTCTTGTAATGTGCTGATATTGGTGCATAATGAATAAGCACAACCAAGCTTACAAAAGTGATGAGTAGTGGATTGACTTAAGTTTTGAGGAGGAACCTTTGTAAAGATGCATTTAGCCAAACATACTGCTGCACACGTCTTTAATTGAGGAGGAATATGAAACACACAGGAAGCAAAACACTTACCATAACATTTCGGGAATTTCCCAATAGAGGCACTAGACTGCCCTACAAATAACACCAAAACAAACACTACTACAACTGCCCTTAATTTTCCTCCCTCCATCTACTTCGTCCGTATTGAATTATGATCTTGATAGCTGCTAGATTACAATGAATTACACATCTCCCATATGCTTTAAGAAGGGTATATATAATGTTGGACCTTTGACTAGTTCTTAAAAATTCTTTATTGCATAAGTTAATTTTCTATTGGGCCTATTAATTTTTATGTTAGTGCCCTATTCATTATGATTTTATTAGACCTCTTTATTCTATTTAATTCGGCTATTTATATGATTTATTGGGTTGATTTAATTTTGATATTTATGTATTTTATTGGGTTTATTTATAAATTCTCTACATTCCAAAATTTCCTTATTTCAATGGCTTGTATTATCAACTAATCTAACTCTTTATCAAGTCAAGTAAGGTAACTTTTGAATGGTATATGAATAATAATATATTAACCATATGAATTTGCAATCCCCAGTTTCCAAAATATCGCTTTTGTACTTTTTAAAAGGTTGGTTCTAATCCTGCACTTAAGCTCAAATTCAAATTTATGTTTAAAATTGATAAGAGAACAAGAAATCAGCTATAAGTTCCTATGTTTAAAAATAATTATTTTTTTAATTATCACTTAAAAATTTCAGCACTTAGAATTAAAATTTTAAAATTTTTGGTACTTAAATTTCAATTTTATCAAA